TTGTGGCTCCATCTGGTGAAGTTAAAAATGTTACGTCAGCAAAAAGCCATATACAAGTAATTGCATCACTTTCAATCTTTGCTTCACTTCCGAAAATGTTGGTTTAGCTGCAGTCAGTACATCTTTACAAGATTTCATATTTATTCAGCAATGATGCAGTATACTGGTGAGCTGGGATAGCGCAGTCGGTAAAGCGACTAGGTACTGGTTGGACGACTGAGGGGTCGGAGTTCAAGTCCCGGTGGGGTCAAAAATTTTTTACTTCTCCATGTTGTTCCGACAAATTCTGGGGTCCACCCAACCTCCTATCCAGTGGGTACCTGGAGATGCTTCCCCGGGGATAAAGCGGCCGTGGCGTGAAGCTGACCACTCATCTCCAACTAGTGTCAGGTCAAGAAATGTGGGTCTATACATCCACTCCCTTATGCTCTTTCGTGGTGTAGTTCTTACTTAGCTAAGTACGGGGACAATTTTACCTTTATGTTGTAGTATCCTGAAACTAAATTTCTTGCTCCTTAACCAGTCAAGTGTTGGGTAAGAAATAAGGCCCCAAATTTAAAGATCCCGGATACGTTAATGTGCCGCATGGTGACAATTACGTAGTTAATTTATGAAATAATTTCTTCGTTAAGAATATGTTAACACGATTCATGTTCTGAACACTGAAGTCACTATTATCTATAGCCATAGCATCAATAATAATTATAAGAACTGGAATAATATCAGATAAAAAATTCCAGAGGTGCTTATCAGTTTTGAACGCTTTATTTTCTCGTCTATCAAAAAACTGATTAAAATAAGCAAATCTGTAATTTTACCTATTGTTAGACGTGTTAGCAACAGCCCGGAGCGTCTGTTATAATCTCTCTATCCTTCTTTTGAGGCGCATGAAATAACTCGAGAAAAGTGAAACTGAGGACATACTAAAATCTGTCTACCCATTCCAACTTAGGTTAAACCTGTACAAAAACAGCGAACACCTTACACGAAGATGTACTTGCGTCCCTCCACGTATAGTGAAGGTAAATGGCTAAACATCTGTCCTAGCAAACACACTTCCGAACAGACAGACGTAGAGGAGATTAAACGATTTTATGACAGATTCGATTTTTTCTGTAAATCTTGTGGGGTTTTAAATTAATTATTAATCAAAATGGACGATCTACCTGCATTTCCGACCCCACACATGTAACAGGCAACACCCAGAGTTTGGAGCAGTGCTCTACCCTCGTTAAGAGTGAAATATAGCTGCCTCCAACTTGAATATGTAGATATACGTAACAAGTCAGTGTACACGGAAATAAACATTACGTATTCTTTGATTTTGCAAAATACAGCAAATGCTGACGTACTGATTGAGTGTACACTTCTAACAGATTTGTTTTCCCTCTTGATGTAGCGCTATATTTTAATCCGACTTTGAAGCTCAGGGTCATGTATTATTTTTTCTGTGTGTATAATAATCAGGAACAATGAAGCCTTAATATTAATTAATTATTCATGCAGTATATTTTTCATTTCTCACCAATTTGAATAAGTATTACCTAATAGTGAATATATTTATGTGGCTTCAATTCTTGTCTATTACAAGATTATGCGATAGTATTCATTATTAAGTTTAAAATAAGATACCTACGGAATTACAAAACATCACTTCGCCTTCTCATATTAACTACATTTTTCCTTGTGTGTAGTTTGAAGATTTTTTTTTTCCTGTGGCGCTACAGCCCCAATTGGGGCCTAGGCCTACCTCCATGAAACTCTCCGTTTCACTTCGGTTTACTAGATCTTACACATACGGTAGGACTCCTTGGGCGAGTGATCAGCTCGTCGCAAGGCCTCTACCTGTATACAAACACAGAAAAACGCACATAAACATCCGTGCCCTGAGTGGGATTCGAACCCACGATCCCGATTTCCAAGCGAGCGAAGACAGTACATGCCTTATACCGCTCAGCTACCGTGACCGGCGCTTGTAACTCATGTATGCCTTTAAGTTTCTCAGGATATTTGTGTCCATTGCTTAAATGCTCTCCAAACTGCTATTTTAACTTCAACTAAAATGTCATCTGCATCAGCCGGTGGTTGACTGGTGACTCTGTTTTGAACTCTAATCAATATTTGTCGGAGTGACCATTGTTTCTTTGAGTAATGACCCTTCCGTGCTCGGTTGTCCTATTCACAGAGAAAACAGCAGAATTTTGTGCAGCCCAGTTGCAAACTAAGCAGAAGTGAGATCATGTTCCAGTCTTCACAGATACACCAACAATAAATGTGCTGGATACGTTTCACAAAATGGTACACTGTGCTGTGTGATTTCTTCATATGAAAGACGCGTGGTACTGGAACTGAGGAGTATTAATTTCCATTATGGAGCACCAAAGCTTTCAACCATAGGTTGAAGGAGTCGAAAAGTAGAGGCAAGTCTTTTGAATCGTGACAATGATCAGGGGATTCCATGAGGGAATCCGTATTATGAAGGTGCACTAAATAGCATTCCCGAAAAAAAAAAGTGTTTGTGGCTCTTACAGAACAACATTACGTTGTGTTTCTAGACGATTCAATTCTTCAAACATGGAAGACAAAATTTCAGATTGATTATTGGACAAATTCAGGTAATGAACAAGATTAACCAGGTCCGCTTGAGAATGAACATGAAATACTTTGTAAACATTAATAAAACGTTAGTTCACCTAACAATATTATGTAAATTTAATTTTGTATGCAAAATTTTAATATATATCAGATGAAATATACAGGCCTTGTGAGACCGATGGTGATGATTGCAGCGCATTGGGTCATTGGATAATATTATAATAATTATTACGTGATAATTGAGTTGTATTCGACAGTAATGAATGGACTCGAATGTGATACAGCTATTGTGGATATAGTTGTGCAGTGGATCGCGTGGCAACACCCACCTGCTGAGCTCCTCCAGGCTGTGTAGGTAGTCAATAGCTTCTGATATGTTCTGAATCCTTTTCACAGACTCCACCTGGAAGGATTCCTTGCCCGGCCTCAAGCTCTGGTAGATCTGTTGCAATCTGAGCAGACCTGCGTCATAACACAAAGAGTGATACATCACGAACTTAACAAAGTGCAAGGATAGTCCGGTATTTATAGCAGTTTATCATTATAATTGTCCCGTTTAGTTATTCCAGTTACAGCTTAACTATTTCCGCGGGGCATTGTTGGTCTATAGACAATATTAGTCCCTCGGATATTCAGCAAATTTCTCATCCTTTATGAAATCCGAAGGCGAATGAAAATATTCAAAATAATCCGGCACTGGACCGTATCCCGACCCAGATAAATCCAATCAGCAGCCTCACACCCTATTTATTTTTCGGAAGAACTTGGCCCCTTGGAGGGGCACGTGGTAGCGTAGTTGGTTGAGGCACTATATTGCAAGCCTGAAGGTTGCGGGTTCAATTCCTGATGAGGTCATTGGATTTTTCAATTAACCTAATCCTTCCAGCCGCCCTATGGCCCTGGGTTCGACTCAGCCTGTAACAGAGATAAGTACGAGGAATCTTCCTGGGGGTAAAGGGCTGCGGGCACGTAAGGCTGAAAACCTCACCCCCATCTGGTCAGCCGATTGTCTAGAAAATATGGGAGCTTCGACATCTCACAACCGTATGGGCCTCTATGGCCTGTTAACAGGAATCGCTTTACCTTACTTGTCCTCTTTGAGTTTCTTATTTAATTAAGTAGGTAGGTTGGTAGTAACTGACAAATTATTGTTATTTGAATTTTGAAAATAAATACATTACAGGGACTTAATATATATATACTCATGGAACTGAACCCTTCTTGAGGAGAAGCCAATTCTGCAGCTACTCAAGAATTCCCCAGGATTTTATGGAACCCGAAGATTTATTACCGTGTTCACAAGAGCCCTCCACTGGTCCCTATCCTGAGCCAGACCAATCCAATCCATACCATCCCATCCTATCTCTCTAAGATCCATTTTAATATTGTCCACCCACTTACACCTTGGTCTTCCCAATGGTCTCTTTCCTTCTGGCTTTCCCACCAATATCCTATATGCATTCCTCGTCTCCCCCATTCGTGCTACATGCCCTGGCCACCTCATCATCCTTGACTTGATCATTCTAATTATACTTGGAGAAGAGTACAAGTTATGAAGCTCCTCATTTTGCAGTTTTCTCCAACCTCCTGTCACTCCATCTCTCTTTGGTCCAAATATTCTCCTCAACACTCTGCTCTGAAACACCCTCAGTCTATACTTCTTTTGGCTTATGTTGGACTTCACCCATCGTCTGGTATGTAAAAGAAAAAAACACGAAGTTTCGGAGACTGGATCTATCTCCGTCTTCAGGTGGATATGGAAGGATAAACCTACTCAGTTGGGCCCCTTAGAAAGAGCTAGTCTCAATCACTGGACTTGTCTTTTACATACCAGAAGATGGGTGAAGTCCAAAATAAGCCAAAAGAAGTACAGTATACACCATCGTCAGAATCATTTCAAGTCTACCCTCAATCTATGTTCCTCCCTTAATATCAGAGACCAAGTTTCAGACCCATACAGTACCACAAGCAAAATTATAGTTTTGTATATTCTAATTTTTATGTTTTCGGTCAGAAGACGAGAAGACAAAAGGTTCTGGACTGAATGGTAGCAAGCATTACCCAAGTTCAATCTCCTCTTAATTTTCTCATGAATCAGGTTTTGATTTGTTATCGTTGTTCCCAGATATCTGTAATATGCCACATTTTCAAAACATCTGTTTCCTGTCTTTATGTCATAATTTTGTCCTGCATTTTGGTGACGAGACAGCAACATGTACTTACTTTTCTCTGTGTTTACTTCTAGACCAACCTCTCTACTAGCGTCAATTAAAGTTTGTGTGTTCTTTCCTCCCCCCCCCCCTTGGCACTACCGCCCCAATGGGCCTAGACCTACCCCCATGAACTTTTCCGTTCACTTTGGTTTTTCTAGATCTTACAAATTCGGTAGGACTCCTTGGGCGGGTGATCAGCTAGTCGCAAGGCCTCTACCTGTACACAAACCCAGAAAAACGCACACACACACGACCTAAACATCTAAGCCGTGAGTGGGATTCGAAACCACGATCCCGGTTTCCAAGCGAGCGAAGACAGTGCATGCTTTAGACCGCTCGGTTACCGTGACCTGCGTGTTCTTTGTTGTATCTATACTGTCACCCAGTAGATTCACATCGTCAGCAAATACCAACAGCTGATGTGTCCCGTTTAATTTGAGTCCCACCTGGTTTTCCTTGACCTTCCTCATGGCATATTCTAAAGCAAAGTTGAAAAGGAGTGGCGATAAAGCCTCTCCTTGTTTTAGACCATTCTGGATAGGAAATTTATCAGACAAACGTTTACCTACACGGAATTTACTATACGTTTCTTTTAAACACATTTTAATCACCCTGACTGTTTTCATGGGTATCCCAAACTCTATCAGAGTACTGTACAATACGTCCCTCAACTGAATCATAGGCTTTCCTGAAGTCTATGAATAGCTGACGTACTGTCTTTATTGTATTCCCGTGTTTCTCCAGTATCTGACAATGCAAAGGATCTGATCTGTAGTTGGTCTGTTTCGTCGATGATCTGATGATCCCCAATAATTTCATTTATATATGGACTTAACCTTGAGGGAATAATACAGGGACTTAATAGTACGACTTATTTCTGAACAAAACTCTACAGTTCCTCGTATTCCTAAAGCTTATTATATTAACAAAAATGCTTTTAATATTTATTTAATTAGCCATCATATGATGGTCATTTTATTTGTGAAATATAAATTATAATATTTTAGTAAATTTAACAATACATTTTGAGCAGTATTTTCGGAAACATGTATCGTGTATTTACATTTTAAACCACAAACGACTTTCTCGTTGACCACAACGAAGAGGATAAGCTATAGGAACATTTTCATTTGATATGATGGCGGTTATTATGGCGACAGTTCAGCTTTACAATTCATGGCTGCATCCTGCATCTCATCACAGGTATAACTTTCCTGATTCTGACACATATAAACGGTTTCAACTCACCCTATGTAACTTCGCCCTAGCTCTTCGGCTTTATCCTCGGTCATTTGCATCCCTTATCCTGCTCGCTGATGTATTCTGTGCTGAATTTGCAACTCTCGAGGCACAGACGCCTGCAGAACACGTGTCACAGGCCGAGGTGTGTTCATTGCGCAGCAACCTCTGCTGTTTTCGTGAGCGTGAAAATTTAGATTCTGGTCTTCTGGGTTATGACTTCGTGAATTCTGGTAGATTATTAGGAATGTTTCGGAAGAACAAACAGCTTATTTTCTTCCATGAATTTGGTGTCATTTTGTTTTTTGGAAATATTGGTAACCATCCACTACACTACACGTATACATTTTCATGACCAAAATCTGAGACTACTTTCTAGACTTTGTACAAATATTTGGCTTATTTTCAGGAAAAACTGAATTAAGATTTTCCACGGAACGAGGCCCTTTTTCAAGAAGCGAATAGTCGTTCATCAAATGGACATATTTCCTGCTGCGCATGGAACCCAAAGTCTCAATTCCAATTTCGTAACAAGAGACCGTCATTGGACCTCGTCCTGATTCAGATAAATCCGGCCCCAAGCCTCAAATTCTCTCTATTATATTTCCATTTCGGGATCCTGGATAGCGCAGTTGGTATAAGGTTTGGCCACGGTCTGGGCGACCGCGGGATCTGTGTTCAAGTCCCAGTCGTGTCATGTCTCTATGTCTTCCAAACCGACTCTGAAGTTCACCCGAGCTCCTATCCAATGGTTAACCTGGGCTCTTTCCCAGAGGGTAAAGCGGCCAGAGTGTGAATCTAACAACTCACCTCCAATTAGTGCCGAGGTCAAGAAAACTTGTATCTATATATCCACTTCCCCATACGCCTTCATGGCTTAATTCTTGATTAGTTAAGTACAGGGGCAACTTTACCTTACATAGTTCCATTTTATTATTATCTTGCTATGTTTGCTTGGAACGGAATGCTGTGCTCGGCCAGTCCGGAAATCATATACGAACGCCTCTTAAGCGTGAGAAGTACCTATGAACTTAAATTACTTGTATTGTTGTTCTGTAACATGCTGTTCCACTTCACTTATTTAAATTTCACTTCCTGTTCACTGTGAATAAGAAAATTAGAAGTGAAATTTAATTAAGTTAATTGTATATCTGAATCAGCTGCATGCAGAACTGTCCAAATGTTCAAGGAGAAATTCACGTAATGAGGACCGTTATAAACCCACGTCACTGTTAGTCCAAGTATGAAGCATGCAACGAGATAGAGGGCAAAGTGAAAAGAAATGTTGAAACTTACTACACTGTAGGATGGGCAGGTTCTTACGGCTCCTCTTGGCGGAAGTTCGTATACGAGTGCCTAGCTTGCGGCGAAGCTGAGGTGTTAGGGAATGGGTTGTATTGTATAAGGAGTAGAGGATTGCATTGAGAGTGGGCTTTGCGTACTATCGGCATTTCAATATGAGTGGTTTTCCTCGGGGATAAAGCGGCAGGCACGTGAAACTGACCATTCATCTACATCTAGTAGCGAGGTTAAGAATGGCGGAGATATACCTTGACTCCCCTTTACGTCTTCATGGCTTAGTGCTTAATTTCTTAAGTCGAAGGATAATTTCCTTATCTTATTTTACATTTGATTTGCCTAATATCTTGTATATGTGTGAAGCTTACACTCTCACGACAAGGAATGAACATAGACTAGGTTGGATAGGGGGCACTCGGTAGCGTAGTTGGTTGAGGCACTATGCTACAAGACGGGAGGTCGCGGATTCGATTCCCGATGTCATTGAATTTTTTAATTGCCCTAATCCTTCCAACAGCACTATGGCCCTGGAGTCGACTCAGCCTCTAACAGAAATCAATACCAGGAATCTTCCTGGAGGTAAAGGGCTGCCGGCGCATAAGCCTGACAACATCACCGCCATCTGCAAACCGAGTGTCTAGAAAATGTGTGTGCCACGATGTCTCACAACCCTGTGGGCCTCCACGGCTTGTTACAGGAATAGCTTTACTT